CCCTGGCGCTGCTGCTGACCACCCGGTGGAGCCCCTGAGGGCTTTGGTGGAGCCTGACCAGAGACGGATGTCTGACGGGTAGCCTGTGGGGGGCCTGCCTGGCGCTGGGGAGATGGGGAGGCAGGTGGGCGGGCTACTGGAGGGGCCCCAGGTCCTCCTGCCACTGGCCGGGATTGGCGGCCTTGACCCTGGGTCAGTGGTGGAGCTTGGGACATAGGCTGCTGCGACGCTGATGTGGGACTTGGTAGGCGTTGGGGCAGGGGGCTGCCAGCTGGGGGTCCAAGGCCTGAAAGGTGCTGCTGGCCCTGTGGGGGCGGGCGCTGCTGCAACGGAGGTCCCTGGCGTTGGGGGCCTGGGCCCGGCTGTGGAGGGCCACCTGAGCGACAGAGAAAAAGAGTTCACATGTGAGAGCCAGCAAGTGAGAGGTAGGGGGCTGCTGGAGGGTAGGCACCGGGAAGTCGCCCCTCACTTACCCTGTGGCGGGGGTCGTTGCTGAGCCGGGGGACCCGAGGGCTGCTGGGGTTCAGGGGACTCTTCCTTTAACCTGTGCCTGAGTGTTTCTTTCTCATCCCTGTCTTTCTCTTTATTTCCCCCAAGCACTCAGGGCAGACAGGTTAGCAGCTATTTGCCCATTTTGAACACAACTGGTCATTGTGATCACATGCGTCATGGTGATGCCCTTAGCCTGCTGCTGTTTAGCACTGGGACACAGCAGGAGCAAGGGCTGGCCTGCCCACCAGTAGCTGACCTGGCTGTGGGAACCCCTGCCAGGGGAGACATCCCGCTGCCGGGGCAGGGCCTGGGCCATCTTATTGACCACGAGCTCTACGATGAGCTGCTTGTCTTCATCCTGGTGGTCACCAATGAGCGGCATGGAGGAGCCCACCACCTGGGAGAGAAAACACGCAGTGAGGAAAGAGGAGGAAGTGCATGTGAGGGTTACAGTGACTAAGTGCTTTAAGTTGGCAGAGGGCACAGTGGCTGCCAAGGAAACGAGCTTCAGTCTGAGAGACGCCGATTAAGAGTGTGAGGAAGGCTTGTCTCCTACTAGGGAGGTACTGACAGCTGATGAGGTGCTGTCCTAGCAAATTAGGGCCTCCAGGCCGCACCTAGTTTTTGTATGGGCCCTGAACTAAGGATGGGTTTTACATTTTGTAATGGTTGAAAAAAAAGCAAAAGAAGATTTCATGTTGTGAAAATTATGCCAAAAAAAGTTTTAGTGGAACACAGCCACAGATTTTTTAAAAAAATCATCACCCAAGCATATTTCTTCCATTGATTTAGAGAGAGTGGAAGAGAGAGGAAAAGACAGAGAGAGATATCAATGTGAGAGCAACCACATCAATTGGTTGCCTCCTGCCTGGGCTGGGGAGGAGCCTGCAACTGAGGTACGTGCCCTTGAGAATTGAACCTGGGACCCTTGGGTCTGTAAGCTGACACTCTATCCACTGAGCCAAACTGACTAGGGCCACACATTAAAAAAAAAAGAATGTTCTCTAGCCATGACCAGTTTTGCTCAGTGGATAGAGCGTCAGCTTGAGGACTGAAGGGTCCCAGGTTCGATTCTGGTCAAGGGCATATACCTGGGTTGTGGGCACATCCCCAGTGGGGGTGTGTGTGTGTGCAGGAGGCAGCTGATAGATGTTTCTCTCTCATCGATGTTTCTGGCTCTCTGTCCCTCTCCCTTCCTCTGTAAAAAACCATTTTAAAAAAGTGAAAAAAAAATACGTTGTCTATGGCTGCTTTTGCAGTTGAGTAGCTTCAACCTACTGAACTGTAACTCATAGTTACTATATGGCCCACAAAGCCTGACATGTGCACCGCCTGGCCCTTTCCAGAAAACACTTGCCCATCCCTGCTTTATAGAGTGCTAGGTACTCTGTCCTTTACAAGGAACTTTGTGGTTTACAAAGCTCCTTGCCCTTGACACATAGGGAGATATGATGTGTTTAGAGTTCAGGAAGTGCTTTGCAAATGGCACCAATGTTTACAAACTGCATTGTCATGCATGAAGTGCTGCTGTTTACCAAGCACTTCAACTCTTCAAGGCATTTTATAGTTTACAAATTGCTTCACTGTTTACCAGGGGTACCACTGTTTACAAAGAACTTTAGAATTTTGAGAGTCCTTTGTTTCAATAATGAGAACTTCCCAGTTTACAGAGCTCCTTTTTAATAGTTTTATAAAGCACTTTGCTGTTCACCAAGCATGTCCTCATTTATAAGGTACTTGACTGACAGTTTACAGAATGATTTTGTATCAACCAGTACTCTTTGCAAAGTTCCTTTCAGTTTACAATAGCGCTTTGCCGTTTGCCAAGGACCTGTCAGTTCACAGAACACGTTAAAGATCATTAAGTGCTTTGCCATTCACCAACGGGGCTCAATTCACAGAGCAGTTTATAGTTTAACAAGTGTTTTGCTATTCACTAAGGATGTCCAGGTTTACAAAGCAGTTGACAATTCACTATGTATTTTGCCATTTGCCAGGGTATCCCAGTTCAAAAGGCACTTTACAGTTTACTAAACATTTTGCCATTCACTGAGGACTTTCTGGGCCATGGAGTGCTTCACAGTTTATGGACTGGTGCTTCCCTGCGCCTGCGCCTCCCTCTGTGCCCCCACCAATCCCTGGGTTCTCCCACCTCAATGATGTGATCCCTTCCGTCCTTGCCATGCAGCGCTTCCACTGCGCAGATGTCCAGTCCCCCAAAAATCTCTGAGCATGTATCCACCCACAGCTTGTACCTGGCAACACGTGGGGTGAGAGAGCCTGTCAGTGCCTTGATGGAGCAGCCACAGTCCCACCCTCACTCCCCTTCCCCGAGGAGTTCAGGCCACCCACCTGTCAGACATGGCGATCTGCTCGAGCATGGCAGAGCCAGTGTTGGTCTTCCAGTTTCCTGACACTGAGGTCCTCCTGGGAGACAGGAGAGAGGAGAGAGACTCAGGGGGACTGTGAACTGCACAGGGCAGAGCAGGGGACCTAGGCCTCGATTTCTCCACTCACATGTAGGCCTTGTAGTTCTGCCCAATCTTCTGGACGCGCACATCATATTTGGCGTCAATGAAGGGCTCAGCAGTGGCGTACGTCTTGGTCAGGGCCACGACGCTTGCGATGTCCTGGAAGTCGTGCTGGTTTTCCACCTTGACCTGTGGGTGGGCTGGGGATCAGGGCCTTGGCAGGATGGGGCGGCAGTGGGGGTGCCTCAGGGTGGGTGTGTGCACACAAGTGACATAGGTGAGCTGAGTACACAAAAATTCAGTGGACATAGCGAGGCACTGATGCATGCATAATTCTGGGCCTCCTGGCTTTTACATGTATGCACCGACAGGAAGTTGGGTGTATATCACTCTCTAAATATACTGAAAATGATTGAATTGTCCACCTTATATGGGTACGTTGTATGGTATGTGAATTCTATCTCATTCAAGCTGTAGCAAAACTGTGTATATATACAGATATCTATACAGACACAAAATCAGTGGTACATACAATAAATGAACAGAAGCAAGGACACACTCCAACATAAAAATTACAAGTCTGCTTTCTACATACACAGAGACAAAATCAGGGGAACAGAGAGATGGAAAGCATACAGGACCCCAAGACCCTTGAACATAAAAGATTACATAGTGTGTGTTCCACATAGAGGCATGCATATACACAAAAGAACAGGCACACAAACTGGCTGAGTGCGTGATGGAAAACTGGGCCAACAAATGTGAGGGGAAAGATACAAATAGATAAACACCCCAGGGCACACAATTATACAAAATTAGCGGTGTGCACTGAATACATAATATACATCTACATACATTTATGAACACACAAGGACACGCCCAACTCGGGGACTCACCTTGCCCATCCCGGAGTGTGCATGCCCCATCTTCACAACCACAGGGTATGTTGTGCTGCTGAGCTGGTAGGGTGGAAAGGCAGAGCATGGTCAGGGCAGGAGGGCTGATTGCCAGGGGTGGGGGTGGTGTTGAGGGGAGCCCATCCGGCAGGAGCCACATGTTAGGAGCCATTTCCCAGAAGAGGCAGGTCAGAGATAAGCAGACAGCAGCTGGGGATCACACAGCACCTCTGAGCTCAGAATCAAACCCGGAGCCCTTTCTGCCTGTCCCTCCCTCCACCCACCCAGACTTCCCGCCTCTGCTTTCCCAGGCAGACGCATGGGAAAAGGGGGGGGGGCGCTTTTCCGGAAAAGGGAAAGTTTATTTATACAGTAACTGGATGATAGAGAAGTGAGTGTGTGCGTGGGGGTGTGGTGGTGAGCATGTAGCAACTGGACCCCTCAGCCAGGCCTTGTATGTAAGCCTTGTCCACACACATACACAACCTAGAGACACACACCAGCCCTCCAAGCTCTGATCTACACAACCAAACCCAGAGATACCCATGCACATTAGACCCACAACATGGAGAGACCTGCAACCAACACAAGCTCTGGAGCACCTCGCCCTCCAACTGCGTAGATGCCCACAGTCATTCAGCCAGCCTCGTGCTCACGTGTGGGGCAGGGGCCAGAGCTTCTGTCAGCCTTCTGGCCTGGCAGCACCAACACTTTCAGGCTCAGGCACACACACAGCCCCCTCCCATCACCCAAATCCACACAATATAGAGGGACACACACATCGGGAAAGATTACCCATGTAATACAAAGACAACCCTCAGGGCACAACCATAGCACCCAGAGGCATTCACAGCTCTGAGAGGTACACACAACAGAACTGGGCATGTAGTCAACACTCACAGACACACATACAACACTCCAGGGCATACTCCCAACAAACAGAAGGACCCACACCACATACAAAGAAAGGTATCCAGACAGGTATTCACAGAACCACTGAAACCCACGCCACACTCCTGGGCACACAAAAAGTATATGTAGGGACACAACATACCTTGTCATATGTAAAAACAGAGAGGCATACACGCAACCAGAGACACCACAAACCTCCTAAGCATACAGACCACACTTCTGGGCATGTACACGCACACACACTCTCACATGCTCACACATTCAGGTGCCGGCATACATCAAATCTCCCAGATCCTGGGCAGGATCCAGGGGACCAGGTTGGACGACCCCAGCCCCATCATAGCAGGATGCACGCAGCACCACGCCCTCCATCTGCCATGCAGACAGCTGCCCCACGGGGTAGAGAGATGGCATTCCGGGAGGGGTGGCTGGGGCGGCAGTGGTTCCCAGTTCCCGACAGGCACAGGAAGCCCGCAAGCTCTGGGTGACCGATTGACCTTCAGGCGTGCCCGCCCCCCCCCCTGCACTCCCACCTTCCTCATTTCCCAAATGCTTGGCGTCATTATGGGGCGCGGAGAAGCACTGTGTTGGGATGGGCTTGCGGGATCCTCTAGGTAGTGTTGCAGGGAAACACTGCAGAGGCGGTTGGTGACATAACAACACGCACACTCACAGCTCACAGAGGGGAGGAGAGACGTTCACAATTACATGTGCAACCCAGACCCGCTTTACAGAGGCAGACACACAACTCCCAGAAGCAACACAAAACACACAGGGCAACACAAAACCCTCAGGTCCATACATACACCACATACATGCCATCTAAAGGCTCACGGGCAACTCTCCTGGGCAGAGACACAGTAGAGAGCTGTGCACAAGCGTGCGCGCACACACACACACCCCAGATTTTCTAGGCTCCTCTTTTTATAAACCCTCCTATTTCCTCTGGGCCTGGGCCTGAACACAACACTGTGGACACGTGTGTGCCCACGAGAGGAGTGCTGCACTCTGGGGTCCTCTGGAGAGACATAGCTTTGAATCTTAGCGTTTTCTCTTCTTTTTTAAAAAAATATATTTTTATTGATTTCAGAGAGGAAGGAAGAGGAAGAGAAAGATAGAAACATCAACGATGAGAGAGAATCATTGATTGGCCACCTCCTGCACGCCCCACACTGGGGATCAAGCCCACAACCCAGGCATGTGCCCTTGACTGGAATCGAACCTGTGACCCTGTAGTCCGCAGATCCACACTCTATCCACTGAGCCAAACCAGCTAAGGCACATTTCCTCTTCCTAAAACCATGTGGGACCCTTGGCAGGTCACTTAACTCTCTTTGGGCCTCAGTTTCTTGATCTGTAAAAAGGGCACAGTCAGGCCCAAGCACTTGGTATGCTTGGAGATTGCCAGGTGTCCGTTCTGCACCCCCAGTTGGGCGCCACAGCCCCCACCCCCCACCCAGCCCCTCAGATGGTCACACACCCGGACACCCCTTCATGAAACCCTACCAGTTTCAAAACCTGCACAATAACCTGGTTCTACACGACCCCTCACATGTAGATAGTCGACACAACTCTGTGCTGACGCAGTTTTCGGAGTCACAGAGCTGGCGTCAGAGCCAGATTCAGCAAGGGGCTGCAGCAACACTTCCCCTGCCCTCACTTCTCCTTTTGGCTCCACCGCTGGCTTACTCAGTTCCCTGTCTCATTCACTCTCACTCCCCTACTTTCACAATCAGCTTCTCCAAATTCCTGGTTTACGTCCTTCCCTCCCTCTTTCTTGTTATCCCAACAGTCATTTCTTCACTCTCATTCCTGGGCAGCTCACTCAATCCTTTGTGTGTCTCAGTTTCCGAATCTGCATAATGAGAATATGAACAGTCTCTAACTCACCAGGATATTGTGTTATGTTGGGAAAAATGCTTAGCACAATATCTGGCACACAGGAAGTCTGCATCCTCCAAAAGTGTTGGGTACTATTATTATTATTGGCTTATCGTCTTTCGTTAGCCAACATTAACAAGGAGGCAATCTGGATTGACTGAGAGATAAAGTATTTACACAAAGATTTTAGAACAGTGCTTGCTACCCATTAAGCACTCCGTAAGTGTTGGTGGTAGCTTTTGTTGTTCTGATGGTGTTGCTGTTGATTGGGTTAATCTCCCTAAATTAATCCAGCTTCATTAGCAAGAGGGTAATGGAGACTGAATAAAAGAATTTCCGCAAAGACTCTGGGGCACGGTATACAGTAAATGCTCAATAAGTGACTGCTATCATGACTACCATCATTATTACTGGTCCGTCCTTCCTGAACAACAGCGGCTGTTAATCAGCCCGGAAGCCCTTTCCCAGGACCCTAGGAAGATTGAGATAACATCTGGAATCTGGCAGGCAGGGGTTGTCTCACCCCACCCCCTACCAGAGGCATGGTCAGGGAGGGGATGATGGGGAAGGGGCAGGGCAGGATGGAAGAGTATCAGTTTTCTCCTGACTCACTCACTGGTCTCTTTCACCACCATTCAACTCCCCCCACGCCAGGGCTCATTCGTTAACCATCACCTTCCCGCTTGCTAAACCTGGATTGAGATCCTGGGGTCAGTTGTCCTAAATCCAATCCCAGCCATACCCCGTGATCCGTGAAAGTTCTTCAGTTCCTCTATTCCTCAGTTTTCCTCATCTGTAAAATGGGAATAATACTGGTACCCATCTCAGAGGCTTATTATGAGCTTTTAAAAGTTGAATTATAGTTGACATACAATATTATATTAGTTTTAGAGGTACACTATGTTGGCTTGAAAATTTTATACATTATGGAATAATCACCATGATAATTCTAGTTAGCATCTGTCACCATACAAAGTTATTACAATACTGTTGAGTATATTCCCCTGTGCTGTACATTGCATTCCCATGACTTACTTATTTTATAATTGGAAGTCTGTACTTCTTAATCCTCTTCATCTATTTCACCCACCCCATGCCCCCTCTGGCAACCACCAGATTATTCTCTGTATCTATGAGTTATTTCTATTTTATTTTGTGGGGGGTTTTTTTGGTTGGTGTTTTAGATTCCACATATAAATGAAATCATAAGGTATTTCTCTTTCTCAGGCTTATTTCACTTAGTATCATATCCTCTAGGTCCACCCATGCTATGGCAAAAATTGTGAGCTTTAAGTGAGATAAATTATGCTGAGTGCCTGGTACACAGTTGGTGCTATATAAATGCTATTTGCCTGTGTTTTTTTGAGCAGGGTTGAGATCCAGGCTCTGGCTCCAGGCCACCTGAGTTCAAATGCCAGTTCTGCCACTTATTAATTGTGATCTTGAATAAGTCACTTAATCTCTCTGTGCCTCAGTTACTCCACACTGTATTCCTCCTCCACTCACCTGCCTCATCTCCTTCCACTGCTTCTACCTGTCTCCTCTCTGCCTCCCTGACTCCTCACCAGTTTGTGGGATCTACCAGAGACGAATTTTTGTGTGTGCTTGGTATGCAGTATCTGCACAAGACATGTTTGTTGACGAAAATGAACTACTTCGGGCTTCAGCCATGGGGAGTTTGCGACCCGTGGGTGACTGGGTAGACTGTGGAGAGTTTGGAGTCTACAGGAAATTGCCTTGGGGGAATCCTGACTCTAAGCACTCCGTAGAGGCCTCGGGTTAGGACTGGAACGGGTTCTGGCTCTATGCTTTATTTATCCGCTGCTCAGGCCCTGCCGCCATCGCCGCAGACCCAGCGTCTAGAGAAGCTCCATCAGAGGTAGGTAGGGGGGTTGGGCGGCCGCAAGGCCTGGGCCTGGGCAGAGCTTTCCTGCCGCTGCACACCTCGCTGCTCAGCCCCAGCGGCAGGCAGAAAGGCAGGCACCGGGACCCTGGACTGGTCAAGGGGGAGAGGGCGGGTGTGGGGGGCTGGAACTGCTCGAAACTCCCGATACCCATCCTAAATCTGCCAAGCTCATGAGCCCCTTAGATGACAGCAAGCGGCCATTTCCCCTAAATTCCCTCATTGTCCCCCAAGTCTCCCACCCCCAAACTTCTGAACCTCCCCAAACTCCCCCAATACCCCAGACTCCTAAATCCTCAACTCCCTAAACCTCAAAACTTCCTCTGCTCCCAAATCCCTTGGCGCTTCCATCCTCTTAAGGCCCCCA